AAGCTTGTACCTTAGATCAAATAAAAAGGAAAAAAGAAATCTCATTTTTCTGTGGATCAGCTTCAGACTTTGCCATGCATATGGATATCAGTCTCAAGTTACTTCAGGCATCCACTACCAACCTTTCATCCTTCCAATGGAGATTTGTCAGGAGGGAAAGAGCGTGAGAGGAAGGTGCCATGCACCAGATGTAATCTCATAGCTCATGCCTTCTTGCCTCACTGAGACATGATCTTAAGTAATATCCTAGGCATCTCTCAAATCAACCAGTGTGACAATAGAAGACTAGCCATCAAGAGGAGAACATTACTTTGGAGAAATTAATATGCCAAAGGAGGAAACTTTCAAACTGAGGAAGAAAGAGAGTATTATGGAAAAAATACTGTGTTAAGTTCTTAGCTGTCCCTTCCTCATCACAGGGAAGTGACCGAGGGTGGAGCTACATTGCAGCTATCCTTCTAGCCTTCCTTCTATGTCTAGTTTTTAGAATTCTGGATTTCCTTGTGATCTTGAAGAAAGTCACTGATTTGAGGCACTTAAATCTTTAAATTTCAACTTGATTACTCTATATCATACTGCTAACATATACCAATATGTTCATTTATTAAATAATTAGATTCCTCATTGGCATGCTTTTATTATCTTTATTGAAAATGATTAGACTGGGAGATGATGAGTAAGAAAGTGCACCATAAAGCCAAGTATCTCACTGGATTTTCTGTCCTCTGACTGCCTTAGTACTTTCCTTCTGTTCCACTATGTTCTGCCATGGCTTGCATCCAGATTTTTTTTTTTAGTTTCCTCAATGTGTCATTGAATCTTGAAGTGCAATGGCATAGCTGTGATCCTGTTGGGGAAGGAATTGGTAAGTGACACAGATGCAGAATGGAAGTAAAATAACAAAAGGGTTATTTTGTCAACAAAAGGCCGATTGCACTAAAAGCAGTGCTAGTGATCAACCCCATACTGGGTTACAGCTTCTTTTATGGGGTTGTACAGCCACAATCTCATTCAGGTGGTTACATTTCATCTCCTCAGTTCACATTACCAATACACTAATCATGGTCACAAGACAATTAACTTTAACCCAGATGTAGCAATTCTTTGTAGTTAGGGAGTTTACCTTTAAGATTCGTCTGCTGTCTATTCTAGCCCACAGGTAGTGGGTGTTCAGGGTTAGGAAAACAAAGTTAGCAGTGGATCTTTTCATCTTGACACTTTTATAATCATGTGGTTTACAAAATTTTGGAGTTTGGGGTCTTGATGTGCCCTGTTATTTCTGGATGAGGCCAGATGTCCCATTCTACGGTTAATGCCTCTGGGTTCTTTAATTTTGAGTTAAACAAAGCAGATTGCTGTTAGAGATAGCAGAAGTCATTTTACATTTTCCTAACATTTTGTAGGTTTTTAGATTATTTACAAAAGTTCTCTCAATCCCATCATCAGGGAAAACAAATACAAAATACCTACAGAGTACAGTAAGGAGACACAAACAGCTCTGCAAAGCTTGCAGAAAATCCTGTTTCAAATCACTGATCCAATAGGCTGGGTCAAATCAGTATTCTGGAAGGTAGGTTGGGCAGGGAAGGGCTTTTACAATCTGTCATTTGGTCTTCATTCAGATAGTGTATTTTCCCCCCTGGCTCAGTGGGCAGAACGTGGAGCAACCTTGCATTGGTGAACATGAGTTTGGGTTGTATGAACTATCACATGAGACATGCTGACCAGAGAATAGAATTTCAAAAACCTAAGAGAGAAGCTCCCAGTGTGTTACTGAGACACTCCCAAGCTGAGTTGTTCTGTGGTTTCTACGCTCCTTGCTTGAAAAGGACCTGGGAAACCTCAGTCCTGCGCAGGACCAAATAAGGACAGGAATAGAGTATTTGTTTAAAATGAACAGAACTAACTTTGGCAGGATATCTATCCTGCATCAGTTGTGAAATTTTGTTCCCATATGTTAACTGTCACTGGTACACTTTAGATCCTTTTTGGCCCTCTGGCAGGGACTGAGACTTTTGCCAGGACCTATGTATTCTGTCCTAGATAAGGGAGGTGATTTTATTATGGCCAGAGCCATGACTTATCCAACTCGGGTCCTACAGCTTCACTTCCCATGATGCTGTGTTTTGAGCAGGACTGTTGAGGGCAGACTCTAGACTTAGAGGGGTTACTATGTGGATGAGTTTGGATTGTGCTGTGTGCCATCTTTATTTCCAGCAGCAAAGTAGGTTTTATAGTTTATATGTACAATGTCCACTAAATGTCTTATAATAATAGTTGAGTGGTTTTTGCCTAGGTAGATTGATGTTCTGGTGGGATATACATTAGGGACTATTATTTATTTTTAGAGAACTGCTTTTTAAAATCATCACCTGATCACTAATCCACATTTACTTTGAGGTACAAATTTAATTTTGTAAAATTAGTAACAGCTTCAGCAGATTTTGTTGAATCAATGCTAGACTAGTATGTCTTTCTGTAGCTTTCTATTTGATCTATCCTCATCAGTGTCCATGTAATCACCCCTGTCCAGGTGGTCATAGGATTTACTTCATAACTCATGAGTCTAGACAGTGGTCAACTATGATACCCATACTATTAGGATACCGGTTCTGTCTTTTACAACAGTCTGACCTGTTCTCTTGATGGCCAACAGAGACTGACCACTGCTTGCTGAGAATATGTGGGCCTCACATTTGCAATTGTGCTTTGCTTATTGCTACATCATCTGTAAATTGTCTTTTCATGTTTGAAGGCAGACAGACATAAATTAGTATGTACACTGCATTGCTAATTTACTGTTTAAATATTTTACAAGTTTTATTCTCAAATATGTTTGTTGAGTTTTAATAATGATAATAATGTAAATTCCCTGGGTGTATTCAGAAAGTTGCATCATTGAGGCTTGGGTGTTCAATGAGCATACACAGGTGATTAACACCTACTTGATGCAAATCTGCCAATTTTTCTTGCCTTACTGATGACCATTTTCCTCCTTTGGCAACTTTTAAAAATTTACTGTGTATGATTTTCCATGAACTGTGTTCTTTTAGTTTCCTTCCTTGGAATTTTCAGTGAGTATTACAGAAATTGTACAGAGAAATATTTTGGGATTTTTTTTCACTGTTCTTAAGTTCCGATAGGTGAATCAAAGGCAAAGTGCTTTCTCATCCATTCCATTGGTATGTGGTTCAGGATTTTTCAAGTTTACTTGAAAAGAATCACATGTATCTCCAGGAGTAACAGCACAGTGTTTTCTGTGGTCACTGGTGAGAAGTCACTGGTCTGTAGATTTTGGTAAGCTTCAAAGTAAAGGAGATGAGTGTGGAGTGTATAATCTTCTCCATTCTTATATAGGTCTACTTATTGTGTTCTTCCACACTTCAAGTTGTTTGGTGATTTTCTCCAATTAGATTTGGATTTTATTTTCTATTACATTTTTTCTCTTCAGTTGGATATGTTGTAGTTATTTTTTACATTTGTGTTCATTGATCTTTACACAAAATCTTTATGTCATGTACCAACAGCAAATACTTTCTTAATTATTTTCCATGATTTTCATAGATTTCAA